TGTTGGTGCAGCTGCACTGCACTCAGCTCAGTTTTCAGCTGACAGGATGAAGGAGCAGCTCGTCATCCTCGCCGCGGCTCCCCTGTAGTGTTAGTGAGGGCCGTCCCTCAGCTGTAGTGATGTCAGACCGCCGGCTGGACTACATCGGGCTGCTCTGGCAGGAAGTGAGCAGGAATCCTCACGTGAGTGAATACTACTGCATTACCACCACGTACTGTTTGATGAGTGTCACCCTCGCGCTCCGCTCTATTCATCAGCTGTGCAGCAGCTCATATTGTTTGTTTTGTGTGTGCACTGAGGGAAGGCAAAGGTAAAGAGTCATGTGACTGCAGGTTTGCTGTAAATCTGATGGAGACGTTGTTCAGCGTTGAAGCTGTGAAGTGTTTTTTCGTTGTGACTGAACGGTCGAAGGCAGCTGTTTGTCTCGCCTCCTCCTCAGAGGCTGCTGGATGTGGAGAAAGAGGAGGAGCAGGAGGAAGCCCCTCCACCCCCGAGGACCCTTCAAGCCCTCTGCTCCATCCCCCGGAGGCTGGCCATCTCTGCGGGGCTCGGGGGAACGCCGGTCACCCCCCAACTGATCGAGGTAAACACAATGATTCAGAAACAGGTCACCTGACACCGTCCCTGTTTTCCTGTAAACACGATGAGCTCACCTGACCACAGATCAGCCGTGTTACGCGACACCTCCACTTGGCTGAAGGGAGGCGGGGTTTATGAGGATACCAGGATGGAGGTGTGCAGGTGCTGAAACACCCCACAGGAAGTTTTATTTCCAGCTCTGTGATTTTATCTTCATGCAGTCAGGCTTCTGCTTGAAACAAACAGTTTTAGCTCCTCCTCCTTTACACTAGTTTCATTATCATTGGCTGCCTGCGACAAACAGGAGGTCTGAACAGATCCGAGAGCAGGGAGTGTTCAGAGCTGTGAGCTCTGTGTCTGAGCGTCCAGTGACCTGTTGTTGCCTGTCAGGTGTGTTCAGGCCAACGATCGACCGATGTCTCTGTTTCAGAGCCTGAGGAGGATTCTTCTGGGTGGAAACTTTCGTGTCTTCGACTACGAGTGGAGGAAAGCCGTCTTCCACTTCAGGGAACCAAACTCCGAGTTAGCGTACGCTCTGAAGGCTGACGGGGTGAGAAACCGACTCTGCTTCTAAGATCAGATCAAAGTTTCCTTTTTGCTAAAGCATGTAGCTGTTTGAGAGAAGCGTCATCCATCAGGCTGTCAGGATGCTGAACACACACCAACTCCAGACCTGCATCCACCTCTGAGCCCCCACACATACAAACTCTGACCCACCACCATCGCCTTTCACTGACTGCACCGCCCCCAGTGCACACGAGCCCATCATCACGATGATTGTGTTGGACGCTGCTGTTTAAATAATCGTGTTGTGTCGTACAGAAGACTTTTATTTATTTTATTATCTTTATATTTCTACTGTCCACTGAGGGCCATGAGAGCACTGTGCATGGCTGTGCATGGCTGTGCATGGCTGTGCATGGCTGTGCATGGCTGTGCATGACTGTGCATGACTGTGCATGACTGTGCATGGCTGTGCATGGCTGTGCATGGCTGTGCATGACTGTGCATGACTGTGCATGACTGTGCATGACTGTGCATGGCTGTGCATGGCTGTGCATGACTGTGCATGGCTGTGCATGACTGTGCATGGCTGTGCATGCGGTCTTTGACAATAAGGTAGCTCAGTAGGTAGAGTGGTGCCCCCATGATCGGAAGGTCGTGGGTCTGAATCCCCTGAACAGCTCCCCTGAGGTTCCCCTGAGCGAGGCACCGTCCCTACACAGCGCTCCCCGGGCGCCCAAAGCTTCACAGAGTGAACGGGTTAAATGCAGAGAGGGGATCTCCACGGGGATCAGTAAAGTTTACAGTATTATTATTAAAGCTGACTTCATCTCGTTTGCTTGCCCTAACAAGCAAACGAGATGAAGTCTGAAGAAGTAAATCAGGAAAGAGAGAGAAAGGGACCGGAGGAATTAAAGTTAATGTTTCCTGTTATATGAATATCAGGAAAAAGAAAACAAGCAGAAACTCAAACTAAACCTTTAGCTTTTTGATAAATATTACATTATAATATTTATATAATACAGGAGTGTTATTCATCCTCCAGCTCAGTGATGCACCTGATAAATGATGTTGAACGTTCTTACTTTCATTGTCACACAGCTGATTCAAAGGCCGTCCCACATGCGCTGACCGCTGCTACAGCAGATTTATTAAAACATCACTCGTTCATAAAGAAGGTGACTCTGTGTCGTTTCTGCAACACTGCTTTATTCCAAAGGTGCCCCGAGCCGCTGAAAGGCACAGACACTTGGGCCTAAAAGTTCACCAAACTCCACACTGATCGTTTTCCTTCGTGTGGTTGAACTTAGCGCAGCTGTAGGCTTCGTTTTTATTGGCCGCGTGAAGGTCACAGCGTGCAGCACTCCTGGCTCAGTGCAGCGTTAAAACCTTGTTGTGCAGCACCTGCCCTTTCACCGCGTGCCGTGTGAAAGGGCAGGCAGACGACACGCTCACCGTGGTGTTTTGCATGCAGCGCTTTGAACAAACGTCCTCTGACCTCTGACCTCTGCAGAAGCTTCAGCACCATGTCACAGCAGACTGTCTCCATGTGACCCTGCAGATCAGAGAAATACAGAACAAATGTTAACTTGGTTTTTAAACAAAAAGAGTTCAAACATTAAAAGCCAGGAATTTCCCGGACACGACTAAGAGCTTCATCTCACTCCTGATAGGCTGGCAGTTTTAACCCATCAGCATCAAGCCCCGCCCAGAATATTACATCTTCTAAGGTCGGGTGTGTGTTTCAGGGCGGGGCTCGGGCCATTCAGATGGTCGTCCAGGCTCGCATCATTAAGCACCTGCTGTTCGCCCGACAGAGCGCCTCAGACGGACAGACGCTGCACAGGTGAGGCCTCTGTGGCGTGGTCACGGTAAAGGTGAGACTTCCACCTGTAACAGTAACTGGTCTTTCTCTGTGCCCAGCGGTTCTCTGAAGCGTCCTGCGTGACCTTTGACCTGTGCTGTCCTCCCCACAACTCTAATGTGTTTCTATTATTTTGTCCACCCTCCAGTCTGACAGAGGTAGGACGGCGGGAGCAGGACAGAGCATTGGCGGCCGCCCTGAGCGACAGCCTCTGGTTGGCCGGCCAGGAGGCGAGCGCGACTGTCACCTTGGTAACCGAAGACTGTTGCATCACATCTCACCTGGACAACAAACTGGACACCTTCACAGAGAGGGTACCGCCCTTCCTCACAGCGCCCGCTCCGCCCCCAGCATCTCGTCACGTCTGTTCTTTCCTGTCTTTCAGCTGCAGCTCTTCACGTTCAGCGAGAAGGACGCCGTCACCAACTTCATCCTCGACCACATCCAGTGTGTGAGTACAGCATCCAATCAGGACGCCAGAATCAGGTCACTTTACC